AATGGCAGCAGCAGAGCATCATCCTCTCAACCGCGTCAACAATACTCCTTCTTGTTTTTCTCTCCTCTCAACTCTCTTCTTCCCTGTCTATTGAGCAAGATACTATCGCTGTCCTCACAGCTGCTGCCATCGATACATGTAGCTCTTACATCAAACCTAGTTTTATTTGAAGGATGTTTTTCATTCCACCTTGGTTCTTTTGACGTCCGCACTCTAGGTCAGATCGGCTATCAGGCAGTACTGACTCACTCTTTACTCTCTTGGTACTTATGTATGATGTATCTCCGAAGCACGCGTACAGGACAGCAGTATCGTGACGGTTCTTCAATTCTGGTTCTGAATCTGACGCAATGACTACTCTGTTCGCGTCTCTGGCGATACAGTATCAATGGCTCAATGTATTTACGGTGTTGGTATCATCCACAGCAAACATGATTAAAACAATCTACTCGACTAGATGCTGGTGAACATTTACATGTGTGATGTTCGGATTCGAACCTCGATTGGAGTTAATGAGCACCACCTGAAGACAAAGGGCCTTTTCATCCCCGTTTGGGCCCCTACTGAATGCAGTTCAGACGGTAGCAGACGATTTCTGTCGACAGCTCTCATCTGTACTTCCCATGGCAAAGCATACCGATATCGTGATTGTTGTTGGTGGCATGAATGACCAAATTGATCGTCTTTCGGACTATGACCAGACAGTGATGATGGATTCCTGCAACTATGAGCAAAACATCCTGTATCTGTGAAACCTGGCCCATCAGGTCGACAGACATGAAGAGGCTCGTCACCTTCGATTATCTCTGCCTTCGCAGCCTATCTCATGTTTGGTGGGAGCACCGCGTGAGCAATGAGCGTGTTCGACTTCGCGTATTTGGTGCAGGAAGAGCGAGTGAACCGCTCAGCACCATTATAGCACGCACCAGGCTCCGATGGCTGGGCCACGTGTTGCGCATGCCAGCACACCGACTTCCGCGACGTGCATTGTTTGCACGTTGTGGGTGCGGTTGGAAGAGGAGGAGGGGAGGCCAAGCGATGAGTTGGTCGAGAGAGATGAAAACCCTCACTTCGAAGTTGGTGTCGGTTGGTGCATCCCGACTGCCTGGCTGGGTTCCTAAGGACGGTGAACACGTTTGGTTGGACACACTTGCTGATATGGCTTGGAGCCGGCCCCAATGGCGTTTGTGTTGTGAGTACCTTTGTCCATCCCCCTCCTGTTTAGCATCCCCATCCAATCACGATCTCACTTGTTAGGCATATATGACTTTTACGGCAGCCAGCTGTTAGCTCTCCGGAACGATGTCCATCCGTTACTGGGGATTCAGCGGGCGTACCACTGTTTGTTTTTTCTTTTCTTGTCTTTTGTATTGCGTCACAATAGCTGAGGTGTTTTCCACCTCCAGCTAACGTGTAATGATGATGATGATGACTCTCTTCTCTCTCTCTGTGTGTGCGTGATATAGCTACTTGGACGCACCCATTCAGTGATAACGCTTATCTGCTTGACTATGTCGTTGTCCGCCAGCGTGACATGCGTGAAGTGCGCATGACACGTGTACTGCGTGGAGCTGAGTATGGCATTAAGCACAACTTGGTACGGACCAAATTGTACATATATTTTTGTAAATCTATGTATTGCACTCCTGCCATGAACCGGCAACAATGTATCGTTCTTTTTCTTGTTACTGCTAAGTAGAGGATGGAGTTGGAGAAGGCGATGAATACCCGCCATATCGATGTCGAGTCCATAGCCACAATGGACGACCTGTGACACCACATTCGCGATCAGGTGACCCCTGCTGCCGAAGAAATGATCGGGCGCGCAAAATGTAGGCGGCCCGATTGGTTTGATGAGAACAATGCGACCATTGGCGCAGTGGTGTCGTAGAATTATGCAACGTTCGCTGAACATGTGGATGATCATGCTGACCGCGGGAATAAGAGTCGTTTTCCCGAACTTCGACGACGAATGACTCGAGGGCTCCGTCGCATCAAGAATGTATGGTGAACTGAGAAAGCGAAACAGATGGAATGCCCTGCCGAACGCCGCCAGCTTAACCAATTCTTTGACTCTTTAAGGGCAGTGTATGGACCAACGTTGCAGCAGTTGAGAACACTGCTTACTGTTACGTCAGGCGCTGCCTTCACACAGACTGCAGACATAATGCAGATCTGGCGAACGCACTTTAACTGCCTCCTGAACAACCGTTCAGAGATTGACTGAGATATGTTTCACGGGTTGCAACAGAAAAAGATGAAGATGTGTCTTGCCGACAAGCCGACACTGGATAAGATGCAAAGAACACTTGCTCAGTGGCGAAACGGCAAGTGTGCTGGGGCCGACGGGATCCCGCCTGAAGTGTTGAGACCCGGCGGACCTGCGTTGGTCATTGCGCCACACCACTTCGTGCAACGCGTGTGGATTGAAGAGGAAGTGCCGGCCGAGTTGAAAGATGCCCTTGTGCTGCCACTGTACGAGGTCGAAGGGAGCAAGCAATGTTGCACGAATTATCGTGGCATCACCTTGCTGAGTTGTATGAGAAAGGTGATCACCCGAATCCTGCTCAATCGCCTCGTCACTCAAGTCGTCTAACCGAAAGTGCCCGAAGAGCAGTGTTTATTCCGTTCGCGCCACAGCACATTAGATAGGGTGTTCGCGGCTCATCAGTTGCAGAACGAATGCCGGGAGGGACACCAGCCACTGTTTGTAGACCACCAAGACATTTGCTACGATGAACCACGAAGGACTGTGGCTGGTGTTGGGTAAGCTTATTTGCCCGCGTAAATTCGCAAGTTTACTTGATTGTCTTCACAGTGGTTTGCATGCAAGAGTGCAGCTGTATGGATAAACCTCTTCATGACTTTACTGTTGTCTCTGGTGTGAAGCAACCTTGCCCTGTTTAATATTTACTCCATACAACGATGTCTGCCTGTGATTACGGTGTCCATATAAAACACAGTATTATTGGCGGCTTGCTGAACATCCGTCGTTTCCGGACGGGGACCCTATCCATATATTGCCGTTTGCTGACGACTGTGTTGTTTGCACACAGCGCGGATGAGTTGCAGCACACAACTTCGGTCGTCGCTTCGACAGGGACGAAATTCGAGCTCACCATCAACACAAGTAAGAGTATTTATCTTTTCCAGCCTTCACCGGGAATGAAGTCCGTGAGCCTGCCCCATATCCAATGACGTGTTGAAAACGGCATCGAAATTTTGCTAGGTTGTTAGTATTATATCACTGGAACTGCAGATGACAAGTGAGCTGTGCATCCAGATATCGAAGTTGGTTGCTGCGTTTGGGGAACTCTAGAAACGTGTGTGGTACAACCATCAGCTTACCATTATGACGAAGCTAATGGTGTACTAGTCTATGGTGTTGTCCGTTCTTCTGTACGGCAGCGAAATGTGGATAATGTACCAGATGGTTGTCAGATATGTGTAGCGATTTCATCTACAGTGTTTGCCACGGATTCTACGCATCGATTGGTGCGACCGAGCTGAAAATTTGAGAGTGCTGCGTCGCAGTGGCATGTATGCTGTGGACTGCATACTTCTGCTGCGGCACCTAGGGTATTGCGGCCGCATGGACTACACGGATACCTTAGCAGCCCTTATGCGGACAACTTAGTGCAGTTGGCAAACCGAACTTACGTTACCAGGAGATGATCAAGGGGAGTTTATCACGAACTGGTGTTCATTTCACGTGCTAGGAGTCAAAAGTATTTGATTGTCACGAATAGCATGAGCTGATCAGGAGGGCAGTTGCCCAAATGCAGCAGAAAGCAATGTTACATGTAGAGGAGAAAAGCCGTGTACGTAAGCGACAGGCGCCGATGGAGTCTACCCCATAGATCGCAAGCTCATAATGTTGTAGCACATGCTGTCGTGAGTGCCTGTGGCAAGCGGGCCTGGTAAGTCACCGGCGTTGCAACGCGGGCCAGCATCCAAAAGACGACAACTGATTATCTTAACATGATCAGCGCCACGATTGGTAGGTGCACTACGTCCGCATCCATTCGGTTTACTAACACAGACCAATCAGGCAGTTGATGTGGTAAGTGTGCCGCATCCTCGTTGTAGTTGGCCTGTACGTGCGCCTGCATGCTGAGTTTCTTGCATTCGCCGGTGTGGCTGCGCTTGATGTGCATGTTGACAGGGTGCCTAACTGTCTACTAACTACCACCTCATCCGTACTGGCTCTAGGAGACAGTTGGTTTTTGCCAGAGGGTACGACGTGCATGATCGTTGTGATGATGCTAAGCTCAAGGAGTGGTTTCATCCTGTGTGAAACATGCTACGACCGCCTTGTATACTTCTCGTACGCATGCTTTCCAATTTCGATAAACAGGAATGCTGCTGTTGTGCATGTTAAAGGAGTGTGGGCGGACTTCTTTAGTGAAACGTGGCTCCCATCAGCATGCTTCCCGGTCTTATTCCTTCGGGAATACACTGGATATGGGATGTGTGGATGGGGTTGTGGGTGGTGCAGCGCAAGCCACCCATGGTCCCTCTGTAAGCGCAGGCATCCCGTTGCAGTCTCCGTGGAGGCCACAGTGACAGTAAATCCAGAACTAGATGCCGCCAACCATAAGTATATACCTGTTTCTGACGCATACCTTGACTAAAGTCAAGGTGGTGCTTACTGACCCTTATTTAATTCTGAAACGTAACATTTTCAATGCGGCTGTTCACCGCGGTTTTCCTAGTAGGACGCCATACTCCACCAATCCCGATATTTGAAGATGGTCTGTTTTTCACCAAATCTGTGCAGCTACACAGGCATGCAAGCCAAGTGAGCTGCAGCTGCAGCTCATTTTAAAGCCATTTGGAATCTAAAGCATTTTGCTTCCAGGTTGTTTGGTCAAGGCATAAACCGTTAACACTGAATGTACTCATAGCTTGGGACTTGAGTTTTCCACACCGAGGACACATTTGTATCACGAGTGAAAGCCATTTAAACGACAATTCCATGCTTTTCCCATTTGCTTACAGGTCTTGCTCGTTACCAACCGTCTACTCTCAGCATGTCGCTCATTTGCGCTTTATCGAACGAAGTTCCTGAACGACCGGTTATCAGTCCACGATCTGGGCATATTTTCGAGAGGCGACTGATAGAAAAGTACTTGCAAGAGAATGGCACTGATCCTATTGACCAGCAACCACTGGCAGCTGAAGAACTAATAGAGTTAAAAACCTCTCCCTTCGTTCGTCCCAAACCTCCGTCTGCCACTTCTATTCCTGCTATTCTGAAAACATTGCAGGTTCGATTTTCCCTTTTTTTACTTTTTCACATCACAGGACGAGTGGGATGCTGTAATGCTGCAGTCCTTCACACTGCGGCAGCAGTTGCAGACCGCTCGACAGGAATTATCGCACGCCTTGTATCAACATGATGCTGCCTGCCGTGTGATCGCAAGGTACTTAACAGCCCATGAGTCCATCAACATAATCTTCAATAATTTTTCCATTTTTTTACTTTTTCGTACTGGCGCTGCTACCTTTTTACGCCTCAATGATCAATATCACTCAGAGCATCTAGTGAGCACAATGTTTTTCTCTGTTTAGAGTCGCTCGTGGCGTTAGATTCGGCTTGTGGTGGCTGAAGGATGGTCATTGATTCGGATCTGGCCACCTCGCAATGTCCATACCCCACGCGTACTTGATGGTATTCACGCGTTATCAAAGCGTCGGTGCGGCGCATCGGCCTAATGCCTATGCCCTACTATTTTCTTTCATTGGCTGCTAGGGTGCTTTCCTATTCCTTGCGCTTGGGCTCTTTAGACCGAAATGCAACAGTCTGCCATCATGTGTGAGCAAATGATTGCTGCAATTAATGCTCAATTGGTTCAGCCAGTCATTCGTAGTATGCAGCTTGGCTATTGTTATTATACTATATTTGGTAGTAGATTCACTCTGGCCTCAACAAATCTATTTCCATCGATTTTCGACTTCGCAAACTTACTGGATCAGCTCATCTGTCGTTATCTTGCAACGTCTACCATTGTTTTCGAGAAGGGGGGAGGTTGGGTATTGCCTAATCTGTGGGTTTTATTCACCGTGAGTCTGTTTAACCATAATCACTGTGAGTTTGGTGTAATATTTCCTTGTTTCTTTTGCTCTTATGCACCACTGACGAGGATCAGGGTAGTTACATCGTGTAGAAATTTGTGAGTCAATAGATACTTGAGGTAGTGACGTATTAGTACCTCAGTTTTCCCCTTTGTTTCGAGTTAGGACAGTTCCTATCTGCTACCACATAGAGATCTGATCTTAATTGATGTATACTGTAATAATTGATTGTCTATATCGTATTTACTGGACACCACCATCTTATGCTATAAGGAATATCATTGCTTCTTAAAGTCCGATGAACTTGACTGTTAGCCGTCAGTGGCTGTTACAAATTACAGTGGACAATTTATCCACCTCCCTTATTTATTTTCATCTAGGCTAACGAAGGAAGTCACGGCCGCTCGTGAAGCTTTGGCTACCTTGAAACCTCAAGCTGGCATCATGAATCCTGGCCAACCGTCCGCTGCTATGGCTGGCTCCGTCATGAACGCTGTTCAAAACTTCCAAGCGACGGATACGACAGGTGATTCCGCAACAACCGATGTGAATCAAGTGAGTTTTGGGCCTCACTTGTTAGCCTCTTCCTTTTACTAATACGCCATAGTGACTGCTACTTATCGTTTCTTAATGGTTCAGTAGGGTTTCATTTTAGGTGCCGCACGCCCTGCAACTGATATTTAGATCGCTGTGATCAACCTGATCGCAAGAGTGTGCGTTTTTCACACAGACCTGTAAGGAGGAAATATTACCCAGCAATCCATTGATCTAAAGCACACAAGTGTTTGTATTCGGTCTTTCTGACTTTAACATACTCGGAATCTTTTCCGATGGTCCTACTTATAATTTCTCCCTTTGGCTCAGAAGACAAACAACCTAGTGTTGATCCGTCTGTTTCCTGTTTCACTCGACCTTATTCCCTATCTATCATTGTATTAGCCTCCGATGTTTACTAGTAAAATATTGTCTTTCAGCTGCAAGAAGAAATCGGCATCAGTGAAGCGGTAGTAACCACACTGCAAGAGCGCGCCAGCCAACTTACCGCAGAACGCAAAAAGAGAGGCAAGACGGTTCCCGAAGGCTTGGCAAAATCGCGCAGCATTTCTGAATACCAGCAGCTTGCCAGCCACGTTGGACTGCACTCAGCTAGCATGCCAGGAATTCTATCGATGGATATCAGCAAAACGTCAACAGATCGGATTGTTACCGGAGGCAATGACAAAAATGCTGTTGTGTTTAGCCTCGCGTCTGCACAGGTAAGTCTCATCCTTCCTTGACCGGTATATTTTAAATGCTATGATCACCTCTGCCGTCTGATCGTTCAGGCGCTTCTTCAACTCACCATGACCGATTTCACCTGTCTATACTACCAGCACAGCTAGATGGAAATCACCCAGTGCGATCTATCTTCATTCTCACACTGCTCTGATCCGGAAGCTAAGCACACATCATATCCTGTTTTCAGCCGTTAACCTCCCCGTTCAACGATTGCAGCCACTTACGACCCCTTTATCATTTTTTGTCTTATTTTCCACAACTGCTCTCGACTGTTTTCAGATGGCACCAATGATCCACCGTACTTCGTTGCCCGTGCCGCTGTTGGGCGATCGAGCTGAATGGCCCCATTCATTCTTAATAGTTTCAACCAAGGATGGCTCAAAATGCCGTAATGTGCTAAGTGTGGTCATTATTGCTCAGTCAGATGACAGTCAAGTAGGCATCGACCGAAGGGTGCTTTAGTGCGCTATTGAAATCGCTCTCTTATTCTACATGCACGATATGGTGGTTGGCGGCATCCGGTTTCGGATTTGCCTGTCACTGTGGCAAGCCACAGGACGCCTGCGCCTATAGAGGGACCATGGGTGGCTTGCGCTGCACCACCCACAGCTCCAACCACACATCCCATATCCAGTGTAAACCCGAAGGAATAAGACCGGGAGGCATGCAGATGGGAGTCACGTGTCATCAACGGAGCCGGCCCACACTCCTTCACAGGCAAACACAAGCACACTGTATTTGGGAACCAACCGCACACAAGGCGGTGGCTGGACCGTAGTCCGCTCCACACTGAGTGCATGGAACCGCTCTTTGAGCCTAGCACGGCCACAAGGACCGTGCACCCCGTCCCCTCCAGCAACGACCAACTGTCTCCTGGAGCCAGAATGGACGAAGTAGCGGGTAATAGACAGGTAGGCACCTTGTCAACATGCACATCAAGCGCAGCCACACCGGGGATATCAAACAACAGCCAATCACTTGAGAGAGAGATAGAAAGACAAAGAAAATAACTCGATTAATGCATGAGGAAACGGTGACATAAACCTTAAGTTAATGAGCATATGAAGTAAGTTGTTTACAAACGAATCCTAGATAAGTTCACGAGGTCAGAAAATATACTTTACGGAATGCCACCAACATAAAAATGCTACGAAAATCGAATACAATTGGCTTAAGCGAGGTGTGCAAGCTAATGGAATAGAGTACAGGTAGACATTTATATGAGAAAGAAAAGCATTTAGGCAAAATTGAAAACCCGCCACCTGAAATAAAGAGACTTAGCATGCAAACACACGGTTAGTAAATCAAATGCAGCATGCCTACATGCACGATATATATATATATATATATATATATATATATATATATATATATATATATATATATATATATATATATATATATATACCATTTTCACTTTAAATTGGACATTTTGCAAACCACATTGGACATTTTGCAAACCAAATTGGACATTTTGCAAACCAAATTGGACATTTTGCAAACCACATTGGACAATTTGCAAACCACTTTGGACAATTTGCAAAACAAAGTGGACACGTTGCAATCTAAGTAGCAACTCGCCAATTTGTTGGTAAGAAACGAGCAGTAAGACTGCTGAATGATGTTCAGAATATACATTGTGATGACGCTAATACACCGGCATTGTGTAAGCAGCGGGCTACACTGTAAAACATTTCCTTGATCGTGAGCAGCGACCGAAGTTCCGAACTACGCTCCCCTCTCCCCACTGACATTCGCCTAGTTGGTGTGCAGTGCCCATACGCATCAACCTGTGTAGGTGTGTGACAATTGGAAAATCGGACGTCCGAATCGTAATTGTGTATCAATCATTTTGTGAGTGGATTGCGATGCGCAATCTCAATGTGCACCGTTATTCTCATTAGAGGGAACCTTGTCCGATTCGGTCAATGGGACCATGCCGGATGAAGCAGGTAGACGGTGTCCCAGCTTCGCCCGTCTCTCTATTAGCTTTCGCAACTGCCACGTTATTGTATCAGCGTAGGCTGTAATGACCCCCAGCAAAACCAGTCTAGATCTATAGCCTATTGTTGCAACATATCAACTACTGAGAAGTGGGCCGATTACACGATGTTCAGGCCACATTGTGGTCACGATAATGTAACCGAACTGCGTACGTAGCGGGTGATTGTGTAAGCCCTTCTCTTGACATGAGTGCCGTTCGCCTCGGTCAAAATCGGTGACCTATTTTCCCCTACACCCCCCATAGGAATTCGTGTGTTTTGTCTGGGTGTGTGGACCGACCTATGCAGCGGTACCACTATTGCAACGGAGCATACGATAATGGTTCCACTCAACACAACTTAGCTTTATTAGCTCCGTGCCGCACGAAACGACCAAAATGAGTGACGAACAACAGGAGAGCTGGTGTTCGACGCGATGGCACTGCAGGCGAACATCATTTGCGCAAAGAGAAATTCTCACAAAACTTGTGCTGGTCGACGGCAAAACTACTCGAGAAGCCGCTGAAGTCGCCGGTGTTAACGCGAGTACGGCAAGGAACATCATTAATGCCTACAAGCGAGAAGGCTCAAATACACAGCGCACCTGCGGTGGAAACAATAGGGAGAAGCTGACTCCCAATGTATTGCAGCGCGTCGAAGAAGCGGTGTCATTACGAGCTCGACCGAGTCAACAGTGCCACGACAATCGTTAGCTGACAGGCGTATGCTCTCGAGTTCTCGGCACATGCACCTTCTAACAAGGAGAAATGCATCTTCATAGATGAGAGTGGTTTCAACCTTCATCTGAGGCGAACTCAGGCTCGCTCAAGAAGAGGGACGCGCGCGAACGTCGTGTTACCCACAGTCAGAGGTCGCATGGTAACCCTGATTGCTGCAATGAATAACCAAGGCGTCATCCATTCAAAGATCATTAACAATGGCACCTGCAATGGTGCGAAGTTCTCAGCGTTCGTCAAGGAACTGGTGGCGCGTATAAGCTGCATAGTGGAGATGAACGGCGCGTGGCTGATCATGGACAATGCCAGGATCCAAATGCCTGATGAGCTAAGGAGGATCCTTGGTTCGTCTTATCACCTGCAGTTCTTGCCGCCCTACTCGTACATGCTAAACCCGGTAGAACACGTCTTTTTAAAGGTGAAAGCGTCGGCGAGACGCCTGCTTATTAACCCCACACCTGAGCAGACGCTGAGCACGGTCATTCAGGACAGCGTTGGGATGGTAACGCAGCAGGACTGCATGAACTGCGTTCTCAATACGATGATGAACCTGACGAAAGCGACAGCCGGGCAACCCTTCGTCAACTGATCTTTGCTATGGTTACTGCCTTATTTTTAATACACCATTTCACTTTCAAAATGTGCGTTTTCAATATTAACATTTGGCTTAGCGTGTAAGAGCAGGACGGTCACCGAGAATTCGAGAGCGTACGCCTGTCGGCTAGCGATTGTCGTGGCACTTGGCTCGGTCGAGCTCGTAATGACACTTTTTGAGAGTTATCTTTAGTCTTCTGAGGGCGTTGAAGACAGAGGATACTGATAGGTTTATCCCATTCTCTCTCAGGCGCATCTGCAGCTGCACCAACGTGTCCTCAGAGTGCCGTTCAACCGCTTCTTCGACGCGCTGCAATACATTGGGAGTCAACTTCTCCCTATTGTTTCCACCGCAGGTGCGTTGTGTATTTGAGCCTTCTCGCTTGTAGGCATTAATGATGTTCCTTGCCGTACTCGCGTTAACACCGGCGACTTCAGCGGCTTCTCGAGTAGTTTTGCCGTCGACCAGCACAAGTTCTGTGAGAATTTCTCTTTGCGCAAATGATGTTCGCCTGCAGTGCCATCGCGTCGAACACCACCTCTCCTGTTGTTCGTCACTCATTTTGGTCGTTTCGTGCGGCACGGAGCTAATAAAGCTAAGTTGTGTTGAGTGGAACCATTATCGTATGCTCCGTTGCAATAGTGGTACTGCTGCATAGGTCGGTCCACACACCCAGACAAAACACACGAATTCCTATGGGGGGTGTAGGGGAAAATAGGTCACCGATTTTGACCGAGGCGAACGGCACTCATGTCAAGAGAAGGGCTTACACAATCACCCGCTACGTACGCAGTTCGGTTACATTATCGTGACCACAATGTGGCCTGAACATCGTGTAATCGGCCCACTTCTCAGTAGTTGATATGTTGCAACAATAGGCTGTAGATCTAGACTGGTTTTGCTGGGGGTCATTACAGCCTACGCTGATACAATAACGTGGCAGTTGCGAAAGCTAATAGAGAGACGGGCGAAGCTGGGACACCGCCTACCTGCTTCATCCGGCATGGTCCCATTGACCGAATCGGACAAGGTTCCCTCTAATGAGAATAACGGTGCACATTGAGATTGCGCATCGCAATCCACTCACAAAATGATTGATACACAATTACGATTGGGACGTCCGATTTTCCAATTGTCACACACCTACACAGGTTGATGCGTATGCGCACTGCACACCAACTAGGCGAATGTCAGTGGGGAGAGGGGAGCGTAGTTCGGAACTTCGGTCGCTGCTCACGATCAAGGAAATGTTTTACAGTGACTCTCAGTCTGTCGTTT